ATTAAAATTAAACCAAAACAGATGAAGTAGGGGCATTGGCTTGGTTATGGTCCAGCAATATTTGAAGCAATACTTAATACAGTCTAACAATATAACTCTCTCAGACAGCATTTCGAAGTTTATCAAAACATCCGATACAACTGAGGTTACTCAGAGCAGTGAAGATGCAACTTTTCACTTCCCATACGAGTTTTAATTGAGAATTGGAAGACTCCAACAGCAGAAGGCAATAGAAAAATAGACAAGTCACGAGAACTGTAGCACCACTTAAGTGGAACTAATGAACCACAAATCGAATGCAGCTGCCATTCTGAGAGAAAACACAGTAACATCACTGACGATGTGATGATATGCTCAGCAGGATCTTGTATGTGCCTGTTGTCAAACACAGATGTGAGTTTGAATTGTTGTTTTTTGGAAATAATGGAACTGCCAGAACTTTACCTTACAATGTATTAGACGTTTACAGAGAAGCCGCCATCGAGGCAACTATGTATTAATTATGTCTTGGCTTTAGTATCAAAACATTTATTGCTGCCATCATGTGAAAGACGATATTTTTTTGTTCTCCTAAAGAAGAATAGTCAACTATTCGAAAGCGCTCGAGTTTTGGGTCTTATTTCAAGTCTATGTTATAGATGATCGTAGTTGTAACATATCTTAATTCAAGCAGAGGCATGTTACAAATGAACTTACTGCACGAGTTATCTGCAAACATGGCCTGTGAAATAAGAAAGCTACAGCTTTGTAGAAAATTCGTTAGAAGCCGTGTAACCAAAGCTTAAGAACAGTAGAGTGCTCTTACAGGATGACGTTACTATGCCCTTGAATACTCTGCTTAGGTTAACTTCCAGCACTGTCACAGAAAGCTGTAAGTGATAGTTATACTCTTTACAATGAAGAAAATATCTCTAGTTATTCTTTGCCAATCTCAGAAATGTATAACATAAACCATTATTTTAGGAAGTGGGCTAAAGCATATATTCTTGCTGACACATCAGTGCAGTTTATAGCTGACAAAGTGGCTGAGCAATGGATTCCTTACTTTGGAGTATCTAAAGAAATTCACATTGAACAAGGAATTGACTTTAAAATTTGTTTTGTTGTTTTAAGTTCTAGCGTAATGAAGATGCACACTTCAGTATATAATTTCAGTCTGATAGGCTAGCTGCATATCAGTACAAAGGGTGAAGTGAATGCTTGTAATGTATATAAGCTCAGAACATACAGACTGGAATGTACGTCAGCTCACAGCATACAGGGTAACATAGAAAGAGTTTACAGGCTATTTACTGAGGTTTATAATGGTCTGTAAAATGTGTTTCCCATGGATCTGAGATATGGTTCTTAATAACTGTAGATATTCTTGAATGTCAATAGGAACATTGAAAATTGTTACAATCCATTGTTATTGACACGAATAAATATGCACAACAATAGGTAAGAAAAGAGTTAATATTTAAAATGTGATGGAAAAATAGTTTAATTGTAGAGATGAAATATGCTAGAATTTCATCATTAATTCAGTTCTAAGCGGATTGAGAAACATCTCATCCTTCACAAATTAATCTATTGAGCTACACGCTTCAGCAGCTATGTACGTTGAAAACGTGTCTTGAGTACCCCAATAAACTGAAGCTATACGCAACAAATAAACTTCTAGTTGGATCAAAATACTGAGAGAGGTACATTGTTGAAAGTTAAACAACAAAGACAGTTGAATTTACTATAATATAGGCACGTTTCAGAAACCAGTTTCAGATTATTTTCAGGCAAGCCTGAGTTGAACGTTACACTTGTTGAGATTATACTCATTCTCTGGATGATTTTAAGACTTCTTCATTTAGTGTATTTATTGATTTAATTTGATTTAATCTTTTGTTTTATTTCTACTTTACCAATGTTGAGAATGGTTTTCACGTTGTTAGTGAAACTGTAACATTGTAACCAGTTCTTGCATTCAACTGGCAGTGTCAGCATTACATTTTGTGCTGAAACCTGACATTCTGGCCAATCACAGACATAAATGGTAAACTCTGCCTCACCCTTTTATGGAGCTTGAAAGGACAATGTAACTTAACAATTGACATTTAATATGGAATTACGATTTTGAACTGTGTGTCAGTACAAAATAATTTAACATAGAACATGAAAGATGTTTTAAACTTATTTATGTGAGTTTGTGCGCAGATGGAAGTGCTCTCTCGTACGTTGGAAAACAAGACAAAGGTTACTACCATCTTGAAACTTCCAATTCTAGCCTAAGTAAAGGTGGATAAAACTCAACCAGTTCCAATTTTTCCTGAAGTGTACATGTAGGATATAAAACCAACAAAAGATGAGTTCTTAGATTTAGCCTTCAATGAGAAAAACTGAAAGTACTCCCATGAACATACCACCCTCTGAATCATTTGAACCAATAACCCCAACATCAGACTTAAAATTATATCAAGCGTTAAAACAAAAGCAGTGCCATACATGTTATTAATATACCTATCCAAGAGGTGCACCATTCACCATTATCATGGCCCGGCATGGCCAGGTGGTTAGGGCACTCGACTCGTAATCTGAAGGTCACGGGTTCGATTCCTCGTCCCACCAAACATGCTCGCCCTTTCAACCGAGGAAGCGTTATAATGTGTGGTCAACCCCACTATTCGTTGATAAAGGAAGTAGCCCAAGAGTTGGTGATGACTAGCTACCTTCCCTCTAGTCTTTCACTGCTAAATTAGGGACGGCTAGCGCAGATAGCCCTCGTGTAGCTTTGCGCGAAATTCAAAACAAACAAACAATAAGATAAATCACAAAGTTTTATTAGCTCATGACAGGTCATACAAAACAAAAGTGTCACAGATCATACACGTGGATGAAAAGAAGCAGCATGACAGTGAAACAGAGTGGCTTTGATATGAATTAATATGTTAAAACAATTAGAATTAGCTCAGAGGCGAAGGTTATAAGAGACTCAAACAAAATTAATTCCTTATCGGCACCAAGTTTACTTTACAAAAATACTCACACACAATTCAAACCATAAATCTACAGGTGCCCATCACCTTTACCAAAAATTATGTGTTTATGACTGTGTTTCGTTTAAGTTCCTTGTTAGTTTTTTCTTGGGCCTTTTCCTGTTTTAACGTTTGTATATTTCTTATTTCTAATTTACTATAGTTATTTATTGTTTAATGTGTATCGTGTCCTTGTAGTTGCCGAATAGCCTGAGCTAGATGAAAACAGAATATTGGTATGTGCTAATGTGTTTACCTTAAGGGTTCTTGTTTAGTAACTGTGCTAACGATTTCATTTTGCCAACGTATAATAAGGATACTATGTGCTTATTGTGCACCTTCGTCCTTGCATTGGTTTCTACATCTAGTAACAAAGTATATTTTGTATCCACGTTATTTGCTGAATCCTTTGATCCTCCAGTATATTGCGAAGGATACAATTAAAATTTTAATTAAGACTATCATATTAATCACAATAAATTGAACAAAGAATCTCCATATAAAATTTATTAAAACCTTATGAGAATAATACTGGAGTTATTGCAACTGTAGAAGAATGAGAAGAGAATCTCTAAGGGGTACTTTAACTTAGAAGAATGTGTAATAAAATTGTAAGAAAGGTTTTACTATGAAAGTGCAAGAAGACATAAAGAAAGTGTGTACGGGGTTTATAAGTCTTACACAAATCTGTAGATAATTTATATGGACAAACTACTGTGACTCTACAGAGGTGTTTAGAAAATTTCCTAGTCGTTTCTTTGGGTTACAAGAATCAGTCAAGAGTTTGTAAGAAAACATTCACTATATTTGTACAATAAAGTGTAAATAATGTATACGGAGTTACTATGATTTCCAAACACTATTGAGTCATCTGTGATCTGTTCTCCATGGGTATCGAAACCTGAATTTCACTGCTGTAAGCCTGCTAAAAAAATCTATACATGGATTATTATGATTGTACAACTATGTGTAAATACGTTTTACAAAATAAATTTCTTTGACAGTACAATAATTGTAATGAATTTATATGAAGTTACTGCAACTGTAAAAAAAAAATGTAAACTTATATGGAATTACAGAATCTATAAAATTATATGTGAAGGATTTGTATCGAGTTACAACGAATCACAGGAGTGTGTAAAGTATGAGTATAGGACGGGTTATTGTGATTGTAAAGAACTTGGGAGGAAAGATTGATTGATCTTTTTTTTTTGTTTTGTAGTTAAGCACAAAGCTACACAAAGGGCTATCTGTGCTCTGCTCACCACGGATATCGAAGTCCGGCCACTGGGGGGGGGGGGGGCTAAAGGGTAAGAGTTACTGTAGTTATACAAAAAAGTTAACTAATGTATTCGAAAGAGTTTACAATAATCCTGCAAATAATGTGTACAAGCTATGCATAAATGACTTACAACTATATTAAAATCTGCAAAATCCTGTACCAATTAAAGGTATAAGTATATTCTAAGGAAAATTTACAACGTATAAGATAAATTCTTTAGATTGTGTAACTTGAACCACAGTAAGAAACGTAAACACAATGTTTTTGGATCAAAAGAAGTATAGAGAGAGACTCTGTAGTATATAATATTAGACCTCCCATGTAGCAAGCAACAGGGACCGAGCTACTAGTTCTAAACATTTAGCTTTGCATTGTAAGTAATAAAGAAACGTGTTTTACTTGACACGGGCCATAAACAAGTTACTTGTTTACATTTGCTTTTACACTAAACTATTAACCAGTATGATTTATATTAACAGCCCTTAGCTTTATAAGTTGTTTGAGTTTATCTCGTGACTTCTTTCTGCATAATTTTTTTTTTACCCCGACACTAGAAGCGCTTACTTCATAATGACGTCAGCGCGTACCCCTTCGCAAGATGTCAGGAGTGTAATGCCCACGTGCACAGAATCAGTCTAATATATATATAGGTTCTCTTGGTTCAGCATAATCTTCGAGCCAGCAGGGTTATAGCGCAGGAGAACGATCACTTTCCTGTATTACAGCATTTTACGAACAAGAAGGAACATCAGCAGCCGAGTATATTTTTCTGTAACTTTCAGTTTATTCAGTTCCTCGAGAAAAAAAAAGGTATGGATTTGTATCTCTATGTAAGAAAGTTTCTGAATCCTTGTTTCAAAATTTCTGAATAATTATATAACTCTCCAAACTTTGAACAGTATATTGTATAGTTTTCTTCATCTCTCTTTTTACTCTTCTGACAAACCACAAGTGTCATTGTTCGTCACTAGAATACATTTAAAACTTCACGTTTCAACTTCTAATTGAAAGTTTACGGAAAATTTCAATGGGTTCAAGCAGTAAGTCTGTATCTTTGCCTATTTATAACGGACTTTAAATCTTTCCGAATTGGTACTGTGAGTACAAACGATTAACATCGGAAACGTATTTCCTAATAGTTTCAAAAACGCATTCGTTCAGGCTAAGACTAGAATCCTAGTGTTTTCAAGTCCTGAATAAAAATCCCTTATAGATTAATCATTCTTTAAAGTTTGTTGTAGCCATTGAAAAATCCTAATTACTACTCCTGGATATTTGTTTTGCACACAAGTTAGAACTAGTAAATAAACCAGTTTGTAACGAAGCTCACCATATGATACAAGAATTTGTAACTGTAATATATATAGAATACGACTTAACGTCTTAATTTGGTCTTGACAAGTTATCTGGTACATTACAGTTCCCATTGTTTATCAAACAAAAGTCTACTTTTTTTTTACGCGAGTAAGTTGTTTTAATTTCTCACAAAATATTTTAAACGCTTCAATTTTCAACAACTTCGAGTATTACTTAACAATTTTATTATATTTTTATTCTACTACTTTATTTCATTTGGACTTAAACTGTATATTTTAATTTCGACGTTTTGAATAGGATTGAATCGTAATTGTCATCATTCAGTTAGCAAGATGTTTTGACAATGAATAAAAACAGCCATGCTCTTAACAATAAAAATGTACTTGATCAAGCTAATGAGACAGATGTTTTGTGTTATTTTGATATAATGAAATATAGCAATAATAATTTGAAACAAAATAACCAAGTAATCTTTACTACAGTAATCAGTTATTTAGTACAGATGTTTCACTTAACGTGACCGCAATTATCTGATCTTGTTTGTTTGTAATTAAGCACAAAGCTACACAATGGGCTATCTGTTCTCTGTCCACCACTGGGGGCTATCTGATCTTATCAGGGCAAAAGTATCCATAAAAATAAACTGTCTTTACTTTTTATGACTGTTCTTTTAAGTGTTTTATTTTTCAAACGTTTAATTTGAACGCTCTATCCTTGACAATAAAAGCACAAAAAATTATGACTTTGTACCATCAGTTGTGTTTAACTACAACCTTACACCACCAGTCAATTATTATACGACTTTTTTATTTTTTCAAATATGACATTACACACTGAATAAATTCCTGTCCGACTTGTGTTTAAGTATGGCTTAATACCATCAGTAAATTCCTGTTCAAGTTGTGTTTAAGTATGGCTTATACCATCAGTAAATTCCTGTCCGACTTGTGTTTAAATATGGCTTAATACCATCAGTAAATTCCTGTCCGACTTGTGTTTAAATATGGCTTAATACCATCAGTAAATTCCTGTTCAAGTTGTGTTTTCGTCAGTTCTATTCTTACATCTAAAGAGTGGTTTTTACGATAGGGGTTTGAACCTGCTCTAATATACCCAATTTGTAATTCGCTCAAAAACTCCGTCAAAAAGACAACAACAGGATAAAGCCATAAAAAGCTAGGCCTTAAAAGTGTCATCTCAAAGTTTAGCTACAAAATAATAAGTGAAATTGTTTTAATCGCTCCTTTTTAACATACGCGTTGTCTATTAAAATGCTTTAGAAGCAATAAAACACTAAGTATAATAAAATGACATACTTCTAGAGTGCAGTGATAAGCACTAAGATTTATGATATTCTCCTCGTGAATTGAAAGTACTTTAATATCCTTGATATTTCTGTCAAAAAAAGATGCCGGTTTACGCGTTGAGTCTCACGGTTTCCTATGTCTTTAATAAGTGGTTTTGTGTTGAAGCATTTATAAACCTTTGTATAACTTTGAATTAGTATTACAGTATTGTAAATAATTGTGTAAAGGAGAGTGGATGTGGTACAAAGGGCATTACTATTTGAATGTCACGCCTTTGTTGTGTGAAAATGAACTGCACCAGAGTACAATCACATATTGATAGTTAACACTTATTGATTTTCGCCCACCGAATCAGAAAGTGCCATACTAGCCTATGAAAAAACAGGCTGTCATAATATGCCCAGTAGTAGTGGGGTGATCCCTTCATGGCTATCAGGACTGAAATTCCAAATGATAAGCGTTATAATTATAGTTGCTTAAGGATACGCCATAAAAATTGGGGCAAAAACCCCCTATTTCAGTAGGAGCTGTATGCAAAACTCCATA